TATATATATATACATAAATATATATATATATATATACCTATATAAATATACATAAATATATAAATATAAATATCTACACTAACTCCACGCAAAACTAGAAATAGCTACTAGTTATTTATAAAAAACAACATATTTTAATTGCTATTATTTTACTTCAATAAAATGTAATAATAAACATCTTAATTTTACTTGATGTACGTACATATATAAAGTTATCGTACCTTCAGATAAATAAAGCGACATAAGGTTATTTACAATAATATTGTCATTTTATATATATATATATATACAAGTTATTCATCATTATTACATACCTATATGTCAGATTACGAAATGTTAAAATAAGTATAAACACAACGTAATAGTAAATATTAAAATTAAAAAATTTATGAATATTAATATTAAATAATAAAAATTTGATTTACAATTATAAGATTTAAGTATATTTCTACAATCATTTAACTGTTTATAAAGTTGTTTATTTGATATTTTATTAAACATATTTATTAACGAACTTATAATTTCTTCTCCAGTCGGGATGATTTGGTTCGGTGGTAACAAAAAAGTTAATTTATCACGCATTTGGTAACGAAATGTGACATTTTTAAACAAAGCTCCTGCGACGTAATCTATGCTAGAACCGCTAGCCAAACCTAGAAATAATTTTAGATTATTTATAAAAAGCAACATATCTTTTAGTTGCAATTATTTTAATGTAATATACATTAATAAATATTTCAATTTTATAAGCATAGGATAAAGACATTAATACTTTATGGACGATTTGATTCAATTTTAGTAATATTTTTCATTTCTTAAATTTTAATTGAACAAAATAAAATTATGAAAATTATCTGCAATTAGGTTTTTGGATTTAGTTACGGATCATACTTTCGGCATATTTAATTGTAACTGAGAATAATATTGAATTATTTTCGTAAAATTTACTGTATATTAAATAATACTATTTACCACGTTCTGTAAAACACATAATTGAATAATGCTTATAGTAGATATTAAACTTTCAATGAATTTTTAAAGATATCTAAATTGACGTCTTATGTTTCATTATTTAATAATAATAATATTAATAAAATATATATTGTTGTTGCTAAAGTAAACAAGAAATAATTAACGATTGACAAAGCGAACACAAATGCTAAAAATCTTGTGTAATATGCGCCATTCGATAAAAAAAATATTATAATTATTGTACATAATGAATTATTTAAAACCAGTGTAAAATCTGTATTTAGTATCTTTACCATGTGGATATAAAGAAATAATAAAATGTTATTATAAAGTTATTTTCAGTAATATTGTTATAAAAAAAAACCGTAATAAAAAGAACATTAAACATTAAAGAACAGTAAATTATTACAGATAATTAAACCTTCACATACCCCATGGACTGATCTCGCCAAGACATCCAGTATAATATGTTGTTCCATGCACCTGTTTAAGAGCGACGACCGCTGCCGTGCCGACACGATACTGAAAATGCAAACATTAGATTAATTTTTACTGTAATATTTAATTATAGTTATAAATGTGCAAATAATATAATACTTTAAATTATTTAAAAAAACGTATAACTTGCAAGCACGTTTAATGTAAAAATATTATATAAAGCCATAGAAATGCATTATTTTTTAAATATTTCCTTTACACAAATATTTCTTAACTACACTACTTTTATTACTACAGTTTCTTACTAATTCTTCATAATTAATGAAGGAATGTGAATCCGTATAAGAAAAAGGAAATCCCAATCGTTGACCATAACCGTGGAATGAGACATACGCGTAAAAATTGAGGTTACTTATATAATGGGCCATGGTCATCATCTCTATTTCCGAAAATGCCGATTTTCCAGGATAATCCTCAGCGCAAGGATTGCTCACGCCAGTATCTAAGAACGTTACAATATTATATTACGAATCTTAACGTCATAAACTCTTCAAAACTCCAAAATAATATAAACTTACAATTTTCTATTAATTGCTATACTCTTTATATTGATACTTACGATTCCAGCGAAAACCCCAGTTTCTATCGGGATCCGATCCATAGCAGTCAGGACTGGATGGTTTGCGAGTTTTCTTCCATAATCGGTCCTGAAAATCATTAAAGCAGACTAATAGTGTGTATGATCTCAATTTATAACTAAAATTACAATTAGATA